GAGTACAATCTAGTTACCGCCGCATGATCAGAATACACTGTTATTGGCGCTCTTTCCAAAATAGACTCGGAACTTTTGCACTGCTAACAGAACTGCAAGTGCCTCTCTCTCGGTCGCGGAATAATTTCTTTGTGTTTGATTTAAAGTTCCACTAAAAAATGCCACGGGCTGCTGATTTTGCGAAAGTACTGCTCCTACCGCATAATCCGAAGCATCCGCTGAAATTTCTAAATTCTCATCCTTTTCAGGAAATTTCAACACAGGGACTTGCGTTAATGCTTGCTTTAATTTTTCGAAAGCACTATTGGCTTCGGCCCTCCACGAGAATCTTTCCTTTTTCCTTTTTAATTTTAACAATGGTTCAGCAATAGCTGCAAAATCTTTTATAAAGGACCTATAATATGAACAAAAACCTAGAAAAGAAGAAAGCTTCTTCGCCGTGTTTGGCGGCGGATACTTTTGCACAGCGATTATTTTTGATTCGTCTGTCTCTATTCCTTTCTGAGATTTTTTGTAACCTAGTATTTTAATTCAGGGGCTGCAAATTTGCACTTTTCGACATTAACTTTTAGACCGGCCTCATTTAATAATGAAAACACCTGTCTTAAATCCTGTACATGTTGGTCCAGATTATCACTAGTAATAATGATATCGTCTAAATAGATAAATGTGGACTTTCCAAGAACAGGCCTTAACACAATGTCCATACATCGCTGAAATGTTGCCGGTGCCCCTGAAAGGCCAAACGGCATACGCAGGAATGCATAAGTGCCAGACTTGGTTATAAAAGCAGTCTTAGGCACGTCCTCCGGTCTAACCCCTATTTGAAAATAACCAGTCGTTAAGTCTAAAGTCGTCATATATTTGGTAGAGACGTTATATTCCTTAGAATTTCTTCAATAATAGGTAACGGATATACCGGATATTTAGTTATGGAATTTAATTTACGATAGTCAAACGCGAAACGCCACCTTTTTAAATGTGTTAATGGGTAGTCATTGTTTTTCTTACATAAAACCACCGGGCTAGCATAACTACTTGAGATGGGCGTTATGATCTTTTTACGTAGCATATCGCTAATGTGCCATTCTCTAATTTTTTCTTTATTCGTATCATACCGGTATGCTTTGTGGCGAACTGGCATTGAATCTCCGGTGTCAATACTGTGGTTAGTAACTTGAGTAAATCCTGGAATATCACTAAATAACGAAGCAAATTCACTTACCACTTGTCGGATTCTTTCTTGCTCTTCCTTAGGCAGGTGATCAAGTTTTAACATTGGCGGTTCCGATTTTTCTTCTCGGACTGGTTTCATCGTCAGCTTAAGGGACGCTTCATTAAAATCCAGCGTTGCTTCTGCCTCTGAAAGAAAATCTATTCCTAAGATAATATGTGCTTGCAGATTCTTTACTATAAAAAACATAACCTTTACTTGTTCGTCCTTGATACGGACGTATAGCGGTAATTTACCTATGCACTTGCATCTTTCTTCTTGCGCAGCTAACACTGTCGTATTATCCGAATTATATATGCTATATATCCGAAAATACATCCTAAAAAAATCTTCTAACACACAGGAACACTGCGCGCCTGTATCCAGGAGTGCGGTGGCTGGGATGTTATTCACCAACACTTCAATCTTTGGAAGAGTCCAATTTTTCACCATTACTGTATTTAACTTGAAGGAAGAGGGGTTTTCTTGGCATTTGGATTTCCGCACCCTCCCGTTAGCAGAAATACGTTTTAGTTTAAATCTTGTTTTTACCTTTCCATGCTTTCCTTCTTTTTCCACTGGCCTTCACACTTTTTTCCTGGATTGCTATTGAACTGTCGACGTTCGCCGGCTGTTTTTGGATGCTCGGGTTTCCTTGCCCACTGATTCGCTTTGCTTCCGTAGCCGTGTGCTTGACTGTGGTCTTGGCTAACCAAATTGGTTTCGTTGTTGATATTGGCGTCTTCTTTCAATGTCCGCCGTTCTTCTACTTTCAAACTGGATTGCTAGCTCAAATAAACTTTTCCAGTGTAGTCGGATTCCTTAATTCAATAAAGTCTTGTACTTGTGGAAGTAACCTCGGCAAAATCACTTGAATTATCTTTAATCACTTGAATCAGGATCCGGACGGTTTCCATACAAGAGTTTGAAGACGTGAATTTTTCTTAAAATAAAGGTGGAAAGATTTTCGATTCTTTGCTGATATATGCTGAAAAGTTCCGTTTCTAATTTCGCACGATCCCTTACGACAGGGAAGGCTTTTACTAGGGCAGTCTTGAAATTTTCGTAAGTATAGGTGGGACTTCCTGCTTGACCCAAGAGACTTCTGCCTATACATTTGAACCAATTAAGCGCTTGGCCCCTCAAAGCGCTAGTAGCTAAGGTGACTTTCTGGAACTCGTGCACGGGATACATCATGAAGTGGTCCTCCAATTTTTCCAAAAAACTGGTTACCGGTGAGTTTCCATTAAATGTTGCTTCTGGTTTCATCGCTGCGCGCATGGTCTGGACGATGTAACCAAATCCTTCCAGGGCGGCAGCTGGCATTTCTGGATTCTGAGCCGCTTCTGCAGGCAGCACAGGTTCTTCTTGAAACTCGGCCATGGTTATTCTTCTTCGTTGGGCGCCACTATCAGGTTCAGTGTTCCGCCTTACTTTCTTTGGGAACATGCAGAGACCTGACTCGGAACAGGGAGCTTACTAAAGCTATGTTCAATAATTGTGGGAAGTAGACGAAACCCTTTATTTTTCACTCTTTACAACAATTTCCGTACTTCGGAATACAGAGACCAACTACTTGTGGTCTGAACGTAAGAATATAAAAATATTAACTAAACTCTAACTTAACTTTGGAATAATAAACAAGGGCCTACGTGGAAGATTGGCCGTATATTAACAGGAAGCCGTATGTAGTACAGAGAACTGTTAACACTACAATACGTTTAAAATTATTAAGAGGATTAAACCTCTGGCCTGGAAGGCAACCAGCAACCGAGTAAAACTGCTAAGGCAAGCGGCCTGCTTCTACTAACTCCTTCCTCTCTCTCGCTTGGCAAAAAGCCACAACTTAAGTACTTGGCGTTCGCCAGACAAATTTGCATAAATAAGTTAAAGCTTTTAATTCTGGCCGGAAGTAGAAAATAAGAAGTGATAGTAAAGATTTAAAATAAAAATAAACGTTAGTAAATCTTAAGATCCTTAGAACCATATTCCATAGCTTGATAAAATTTATTCTACCAAAAGAAACATTTTACAATTCTGGAATTTTCCACAAAAATATTCTTACAGCTCTTCACAGTATCACAGAGTACAGTCAGTAGTTCACGTCAAACTACTAAGGACATTAAATACAACTAAACGCGAAGTGCATCATAAAAGTGAAGCTATTCGGGGGGGAGGTATGTATCTCAGTACTCCAAACGATGTTGAAACAACAACTGTTGCTCTCTCCGGTCTTATACTTTTCTCGCAGTAGGTAAGAAATCTCTAGTACTTTTTTTTCCTTATAATAACTGAAAGGCCTACGATGGCTGGATATGGTTACAGATAATATAGGAATCACTTACAGTTATTAAATTATACCAAAATGGACCAAAATGTCACTAAATTTGGCGACTTATGCAATTTATCACCAAATTTAACAATTAAATTTAGTTGGCAAACTGTTGCCAGCTTGGTGATATCTCACCAAATTAGCGAGATAACCATTTACTTCTTTCTAAATATATTTACCTTTGTATTCTTATTTTTCTGGCACAGCATTGTTTCTCGCAATCTCTTTATGTTACATCATAGAGAAAAATGCAACAATTTCATATAAAATTTCACCAAAATTATACATATATGTAAAAAATTCATATCATTATTGATCCTATGCTGACATTTTCAGTACATAGTTTCTCAAAAAGAGTTAAGAAATACAGTCAAAAGTCGTTAATCCGGACTCATCGGGACTTCGGCGATTCCGGATTATCGATTTTTCCTATTATAGATCATCAGTTTAAATCTGGTAAGATGGCATGCAGAAATTATAAAGTCAAAAATATGAAACCGCAATTTATGAAATAAAGAACAATTATGATCTAAAGGGTATCAAAATTTACAAAAAAATAAGCTTAATATTTATTTGTTTACTTTATTAAACATTTCTTTCAATGTAAGTTGTTTAAGTTGCTTCGTTCTTTTTATGTGATAATGCTTTTTCTTTAATTCTATAAACAGACATAATTTCTTGTTCAGTTACAAAGTTCCACTGTTCAAGTCCTATAATCGCTGTGTCGAGGACATTATAATGACGAGGAATTTGATTTAAATCATATCAAAAACGGAGTACATCGAGATGAAATAATACATTTAGTAAGGAATTATAAGCCGAATACAATAAAAATATCTCTCCTGAAGATAAGGATAGTGCTAACAGATCAACTTCCAGTTAATTGCGCGCCGCGACGTTCCCCCCCCCACACACGCAGAGCAGCGCGAAATTGATAAACAGATTTTGGAATAATTACATAAACAAAGGATATGCCTTTATCCATTTTTTGCAGCAATTTCACTTTTTGTTTAATGGACTTCGAAACATACTTTCGCTTTGTAGATCCTTTACATATTAGTAAATATATATCAGAAATTCTATTTGACATAATCGAAAGTTCAAGCTTACTTTTAAAAAATTGCTCTAACGGTCTGCAAAAAATAATAAGCCGGATCCAATTCGAAGATTAAGGAACAACGCACTCTGCAACATTTAACTGAATTAGATAATTTTACCTTAGCTTATACCGTCCGTTATACATTAAACGCGCATTCGTAAACGTATTTTGCGCATGCGCACTCGCATATTCGCAGCCGTAAAGGTCTTACGTAGCTTTGAGGTCTGGATTATACGTAGATCATTCCGGATTATGGGTGTCCGAATTAACGACTTTTGACTGTATTATGGAAACAGTTTCTGGGTAGTGAAAGGGAGTGATGTAAAAGTAATATTATATAGCCTTATACAACAAAATTTCCAATTAATAAAATACTCATTTTAATTAATTAAATAAAAAGTTTTATATTTTTACATACAAAATTCCAGAAGTTAGAAGCATTCCTGAATGACTTGCACACTTAGTAGATCACAGTCCTGAGTTAGAAAACATTTTAGAATTGAAGGGCTTGCAGCAAGAAAGGTCCAGCTCCACTTTGGTGGATTTTGTGTTCATGGGTCTTTTCTGTAAAAAAAAAATCGTTCCTTGCATTGGAGAAAAAAGCTATCGGAGAAGCCATAAAATATCATTTTTACTAGCACTTCCTCAATATTTTTACTTTTGTTGACATAGTGAAACACAAGTGGGAAATTACATTATTTAAAATGTTCCATAGCTTTGTATGCAAAAATTTGTGAAATTAAAACTTGTCTTTACTACTTACTCCCTGAACATAATTTAGTATTCGGCATATTTTTCTGGAGTTCTTTGGTTTTGTAGAGAATACTTCAATAGTACTGCTGGGAAAGTAAACCACACATGTGATATTAATTATACCCTAAGATGGGAAGACAAATTGAGCACATTTTTCTCGGAATTTCAGTGAACGGATTTTCATCGGGTGGCATGCTGTTCTTATAGGGTTACCTCATTTAAAACTGAACTGCTTTTAATTACTTCATACTTTGGCTTCATGTACACGCTTACGATGCTGTAAATCATTTAGTTCAAACTTTTCATTGCAACAGCCCCATGTCATTCCTCTTTCCTGCAAGGCAATTGAGAGGGAAGGGTTCAGATAAGTCTTTAACTCATTTGCACTTTTAAAGATTATACAGCAACATATATTACTGTTCTTCTTGCCTAATAACTGTAAGTCCAACACTAAAAGTTACATGAACTTCAGAATCTAAATAAACGATAAAATTCTTTCCAGTTTTATAAATCATTTAAGATCATCGTTCAAGATTATTACAGATTTCATGGTAAAAATACTTGTACAAATGAGATAATTTTAGACCTACAAACTGGACATAAGTCCCGAATTTCCTGAGAACAGTTTAAGCACAAGCATGCATGACCACATTCAGTAATTAAAATTTCTACAGGATTTTCCATGCACACAATACATCTAGAACAATTATTATCACTAGCTTGCAATTTACGGGTGCTGTCTGCGATCATTCGCAGCCGCCTCGCTTCTTCAATCTCTTTCAAACGTTTTGCTCGATTTATTCGTTCTTTAATTCCTGTATAGCCTCTTTTTGCAATATAAGCAAACAAACATAAACCTATCGCACCTGTAATAATGCAAATAATTTTGTGAAATCTAGCTGAATCACTTACTTTTTTAATTAGAGAGTCCAGAGTCATCGGAGTCACAAAATAATTCAGACCTGGATCAGGAGGCATTATTTTTACTTTACCTTTGTCAACAATTAATTTGCCAACTGCAGTCAAAGTGGAATCTTCCATTAACATATTTTCAATTTCTTGAATACCAACTGTTCTTTCTCCACGAAAAAAACTAAACACTGCTTCACCAATAGTATCTTCATGCATGGTAAATTCATCATAAATTGTAGGTAATATCAGTTCTTCAGCCACAAATGGGTCCACTATTTCTACACATATTTGCTTCTTAAACAAACTATTGGTTCCTACACACACAGCAAATGGCACACTGCTCACAGAATGCTGAATGTTATTATCATGGGCACTCCTAAAATGAAAACAGCAAAATATTACAAAGCAAAAGAATAAGTGTTAATGATTCTAATAAAAATTCTAATTAAAAGAAACAACAAGTATAGACATTAACACAAAAGAAAGATAACAGCACTGAAATCCAATTGTATACAGCATTGAAATTGTTAAAAATAAGACAATGAGAAATTAAGTATTAGCTTTAGATTATTTTCTTTAAAAAGAAGTCTGTTTTAAAATAAACTACAAATTTAAATAGTATATATGATTAGGCTTACCATATTATTTTAGGTTCAACACAGAACATATTTTAGAAATTCTTTAAAAGTCTTAAACAGTTTACTGAAACAAACTTTATTTATTCAGTTGTATATTTCAATAGACATGACTTTTCAGAAATTTTTTTTTTCTTTTAATTACATCATAGAATTCATAACAAGTAAGCTCGAATTACCTTTAACATTTAGCAGATGTTTAATAGTAGATACTCAAAGTCTATCTTTTCTGCAGGGCAAATATTTCCCACAATTGAAAAACACTCTCCCAACTGGAGCAGATGTCTCAGGCAAAGACATCACAAACTCAACCATTTTAGAACTATCAGCCTTTTGAAACACCTTTTGAAAGTAAAGTTTTAAAGTAACTTGAAATCCCTCCTCCAAACTGAAATATCTTAAAACAATTGGAAGTTTTACTACTGTTTAAGCTATCCATCATTACTTTTAACATAATTAATGCTTTCAGAAGAATGCAACAAATTATCAAATATAAATAGAGAAATGATATATTAAATATAAATAGAAAAATGATATATCAAATAGAGACCAATGATTCTAGGTTATTTTCATACCTTATTTGGTGTCAAATATCAAATAAACTTGTACTTTTTAAATGTTTTTATGAAACAATACAGTCCAACAACTATATCTTTCATATATCTCACACACCTGTTTTTGAAATTTTCTTTTATTTTTAAAACTGTTTAGCACATTCTGTGTGAACTGTATTTAAATACATCCCAATAATCATTCCATGTGATCCATTTTATTGTTTTTCTCTACATTTCACTACCATTGGCATCTTCACTCTCCATAGAGGGTGCCAGTGCCTCACACCTCCTCATTCAAGTGGGAGCTCGAATGGTGTGATTAAAAGTAAATACTTTTCTTGAAATCGACTAAATGAACAATATTTTTAAAAATTAATCATATCGGAATACAAATATAGATATTTAAAACATAAGATTTAATTCTCTGTTGCCTGCTGCAATAACTTCATAAACTGTCACCCAAAAGTCATTTGGCACTATATTCCAATATTTGAATTTGACTGGCATATCACTAATTATATCTTCATAATATAATCTATAATACAAGGTAAGCAAAAAATGTTCTTTCCATTTCTGATATGACATTGGAAGAGTGAAACCCCAACATAAAAATAATCGCCAAACCTGGCAATGAAATGGTTAGAAAGGGAATCCAGGCATTGACCAAGAGTATCAAAGTGCACTGCATCGGTACCTCAAACATAATTCACACAGCAACTGATTGAAATGGACGCATCAAAGGCGTTCATTCGGAGTTGTTTGCTGTATGATTTAAAAATGGGGCTGTCAGCAGCAGAATCAAGTTGGCGAATTTGCCAGGCCTTTGGGGATGATGCCGTTAACAAACAAACTGCTAAGGCGCAATGTTTCCAGAAGTTCAGGTTAGGGGATATGTCTCCATCGCTGTGTAGCACCACAGAGCGGTCGGCCACAAGCGCTGGACAATGAGGCCCTGAAAGCAGCCATAGTGACAGTAGGCATGTGGTGAACTTGCTACACACTTCCAGGTATCTGATGAAATGATCAGATAGATCTTTCCGCTAGTCAGTTGTTTATATTCGCATCACTGCTGATGACAATCTGCATCTGTTCGTAATGGTTTGTTGGGGTTAAATGGAAACTTTTTGACTTTGTATAGCCCTTCTATCATGTGAATTAAATGCATTTGCTCTCTCTCAAGCTTGTACTTCTTTTTTGAGGAATTCTAGAAATTTTTTTTTATATTTAAACATGCACCATCATCATTCATATGACTATATTCTAATCCTAAATAAAACTGGGATACACATATTGTTACAAGTTTTAGGATAAATATTTAAAGAAGAAAGACTTCAAACTTGTACTTCTATAGTGTTATATAATTTTCTTAATTTTAAAATATCACTTGATTTGTAAACAGGGGAAAGATTTAAGAAATTTTGCTTATATGTGCATTTATGATAACATTGTGTCTTCCAAATCTAGTACAGCCAAATACCGAAAATCCGCCGACCTAAAATCCGCATTGCCTCTCAAAATATAAACATTTTTATAGCTTCCGGAAACCGCAACATGGAGCACGAAATATCGAAGAAAAAATACTTACTGGATAATGACATCATAATTACCGAATAATAATGAGTCATAACGGAAATACCAAATTATTGACATCATGATAAGTTTTTTTCCCTTCCAATCTGTATCGAGGTAAAAAAGCAGATGATTAATCAACTCTTCTTTCAAGTTTACACTTCACGTTGTTGTACTTTCTGAGCGTTATTATTTCACGAGATTGTTTAGTGATGTCGTTTTTTTTTATCCACATATTTTGTTGATAAATTAAGAATGTTTTTAATTTCAGCGCTTTTTAATACTATGACAGACAAGAAACGCACTCGTGATTTTACTGCTTGCAACGTTGAAAAACGTAAACACGTTGCATTGATGGTAATGAAAAAAGTGGAAATTCTGCTAAAGATGGAGGCAGGTGCTTCTCCTCGGTTTATAGCAGAATCGTATGGAATTGCCACACGGACTGTGTATGATACACGAAACAATAAAGGAAAAGCTGTTAAAATTTTACAGCAACAGTGATTCTAATGCCGAAATCTGAAACCGGAAAGTCTTTACATGAGGCGTAATCAGCAAACCTCGATGCTGTCTTGTACACGAGTGGTTCCGGCAGCGGTCAGAGTGATGGGGTAACTATTTCAGGACTACTAAGAGAAAAGGGGAAGCAGTTTCATGCTGATTTAAAAATAGCCACACAGACTGTGTATGATATACAGAACAATAAAGAAAAGCTGTTAAAATAATAGAGGAGCCTAATGTAAAGGAACAATATAATATAATCCGTTTATATATATGTAATAATAATTTAATGCATATAATGAATTACTGTATTAATGTATAAAAAATTTAATTAAATGTATCTAATATGCCTTATTTATTTTGCACTTTTAGTCTGAATATTATCTTTTCTGTCCTGAAATCTGCAAAATCCTAAAATCCGCACAACCTCTGGTCCCAAGTGTTGCGGATTGCTGGACTTCTACTGTATTTAAAATTTGTATTGCTGCATTGTAATTTCCTTCAGATACTGAAAAACCTTCTATAACATTGATGGCAGTTCCATTTAAGTAGTATTTTAAGTAATTAAATTTTTCTACTTTCGAAAGAGCAATATTATTGTGTATCATGATTTTGAATGAATTCCAAAAACTTGCGCATTGACTGACGTCACCACAACCACAAAATTTAGAAATCTTTAATTTAGGAAGGAGAATTTGATGATTTTCACTCTTGTATTCAGTTGACCTAATATGCAAGTTTATTTTGTGGTGTGTCCGACTGGATTTTAAAAATCTCTACTTTAGATTAACATAAAATTAGTTTATCCTTTCAATTTCTATTTCAAGTTTCTTTTTATCATCTATCAAAGCTACAATTTTCTCATCTAAATTATACAGTTCTCTTTCTTTTTCAATTAATAATGCTAAAGAACCTTATATTAAATTTTCAGTATCACTTTTATTTTTTGGCTCTAGTGTAGAATTGGGTACTCCTTCAATTAGTCACACATTTTGTTAAATTTTGGTGATGGAACATCATTTCTGGTTACCATGATAGTTTTAACTTCGCTTTGGCTTCCCAATATTTTTTAAATGAAAATAGATCGATGTGTACACGGACAAAATTAAGGCAGTGCACAATGCCTAGTTTGTGCAATTCTCTGATTTTTTTTTAAAGTGAAAATAGATCGATGTGTACATGGACACGGAGTTTGTGCAATTCCACAACTTATTATTTTGATTTTGAGTAGCGGCCATCTTGAAATTGTGCCTTCCTGGTGACGACCTTGGAGTCACCAGAATTGCCAAAAAACAAGGGGCACCCAATTATAAACTTTAACCTATTTTTTATATTGTCATTTACTTTTAACAATATTAGTTACTTATGTTCTGAAAGCTCTTCACTTTTTAATAGTGTTTTCATTTTATCCATTTTAACCTAACAAAGTAAAATTTTTACCTTTAGAAGTCTCTGTACACTTTAAAACTCAATTCAAAGGTAAGGATAACTTAACCTTATGACCCCACTTCTGACACCAATCTGTCATGACTGATGATTACGGGTCCTTTCGATACCTTATTTGGCGTCAAAGATCAAATAAACTTGTGCTTTTTAAGCATTTTTATTGAGAGTAATATAATAAAACAACTATATCCTTCATATATCGCATACATCTGTTCTTAAGATTTTCTTTTATTTTTAAAACTGTTTAGCATGTTCTGGATGACTGTTTTTAAATACAATCCAATAATCATTTTACGTGATCTGTTGTATTGTTTTTCTCAGCATCTCACTGGCATTGGCATCCTTGCTCTCCATAGAGGGTGCCAGTGCCTCACAATAACGTTAAAAATAATTGGTCGGTTTTGGTTCTAACAGATGAAAATTTTGCATCACGTGACTTTTAAACCAGTTTAGATATACAGTCTGATGTTTTGAAACAGAGTTTGTGTCTAGCAGCGTCAAATGAAAATGTGGGGGTTTTTTTAGCAGTACATTCCAAATCACTTTATTGCTATTCCCATCTCTGCCTGTAAAAAAATCTCTAATGTTTGCTGAAGCAGTACTATTAACAGCAAACATATGTTTAGCTGTTTTCACAAGGTCTTCAATATCACCCTTTCTTTTATATGCAA